GCTAATAACAGTAATTGCCCAAATCCTGTTTAGATGGCAATCTTCCTAAACAGAGATGCCACTTTTGCAAACAATTCTATTTTAAAGGGACATCGCTCTAGAATGCAAAACGTGTAGAATAGTAGACTAAAAGGTCAGTGGGGTTTTTGCGTTCATTTTTATTTTTATTTTTTTCCCTTAACATTCCTCTCATTGTTTATTTTATACACTTAGTTTACATATATATATATATATATATGTGTGTGGATAGATAGATATAGATACACACACACATATATATATATATATATATATATATAAAAATATCAACATCCCCTGCACTAACGCTTGAAATGTTCCAAATGCCGGGCGCACCACCAGAGCTCCAATAGGTACAATATCCAATAAGAAAAGGCTGCTCTCCGGACTTAAAACAAAAGTTTTATTGAAAAAATTTAAAAATGATGACCAACGTTTCGGTCCCCGGTCGGGACCTTCCTCAGGGTCAGAGACAACAGGACAACAACAAACTGTGTGCAAACTGACAATATATACCCAAAGAAAACAAAAACTATCCCTTACTGAGATAGTGAGTGATATACTAAAGTGCCTGAATAAAAGCAGCTCAACACAAAAAGTGGAATACCTTAATCCACAATGAAGTGCAAAATACAAGAAAATGCAAAATACAAGAAAAAAAGGTATAAACAATATACCAGCAAGTGGAGCGCTATATTGAATATATATATAAATAATGAGGGGGTATACTCACCCCTCCAACATAGTGATACAATGTGTCCAAATGTACATACAAAGTAAAACAACAAAAAGAGAGAATATAGTGCAGATGGTTTACAAAAAAAAAAAAATGAATAATGGTAGCAATTGGTTGAAACCACTCACGTGGGTTGGAGCCTATAAGCTATTGGCTCCGTAAGTGACTCCTTCTTGCTCTTGAGGCAGCAACACACCCCTTCATCCCAAATGATATTCTCCCGAAGATATGGAACAAACAGAGAGAGAGAACCTCATAGATGGTATTGTACAGATGGTGTATACAATATAGTGAGATAGTAATAGATATGCTCACCTTAGACAGAGCCTTGAATTCCTGGCTCTGAGGTTTGTTGGCAATGTGCTAATTTATTGGGATAGCATTCCCCACATGGTGTTCCTGGAGGCTAGAAAGGACTATATGGACTAATATATAAAAAATAACAATTTATTGTAGAGATAAAAAAATAATAATAAAAACAATATTTAGACTTCTCAAAAGCACATAAGCTAAATGATGGAAAGTCCAAGTATAAAAGTCCAAACTCCAGCTAAACGCGTTTCACTCTTGTATGAGCTTCCTCAGTAGCTGTGAAGTAGCCTCAGGAATCTTCCACTTTATAAGTGCTCTAAAGTTGATTCGGATCCTCCCTTTGAGGTCACAGGATGTGTGATTATCCAATCATAAGGTCAGAGTCTCTTGGGGCATAGCCCTCACTATGGATTTTAACAAAACGAGAGTGAATTTTTTAGATCTTGACATTTTTATTGAAGATAATAAAATCAAAACTAGCACTCATTTTAAAAAAGTAGATGTGAATAGTTTCATTCACACCACGAGCTGTCATTTTACACCTTGGCTTAAGGGAATCCCCAAATCTCAATTTATCCGGATAAAAAGGAACTGCACTGAGGAAACTAAATTTATTGAACAGTCACATAAATTAGAAGGTAAAATGTTGGAAAAAGGATATAAACAAGATGATCTAACCAAAGATCTCAATCAAGTGATGGCAATTAAGAGAGAAACCCTATTAATAGATAAAGGGATTAATGAGAATAAAGAAAGATTTAATGATAATGGCAACATACCTATATTCTGTAATTACAGTCATGGTAACCGTCATTTAAGAAAAATTATTAATAGACACTGGTCAATCTTAAAGGAAGACCCAGTCCTGTTCACCATTCTACCAGACAAACCCAAGGTGATCTTTAGAGGGGCACCTAACATGAAAAAATTACTAGTAAGGAACCACATCAGAAAACCATGCAGCATAAAGCCAATTGATACTAGGAAAGGTTTCTTTGGTTGTGGAATATGTTTGGCGTGCAGGAACACTGGAAGCAAAAAAAGACATATAGGGAAATTCAAAAGTACTAAAGAAAATGAAGAGTTCAACATAAACAATCTCATCACTTGCCATTCAACCAATGTAGTGTACCTGTTGGAATGTCCATGTGGCCTCAAGTATGTGGGCCGCACAAAACGTAATCTGCATATTAGAATAGAAGAGCATATAAGGAACATTAAGAAGGGATATGAAGGACACAGTGTATCCAATCATTTCAAGATTACACACAACAGCAATCCTCAGGGGCTCATATTTATGGGCATACACAAAACTTTAGGAAATTGGAGAGGCGGTGATTTTAACAAAATTTTAGCTCAAAATGAAATGAGATGGATTTTTAGCCTTGGGACTTTACAACCCAAAGGTCTAAATATAGATTTCCTACATTTCCTTTAATTATCCTTAACATATATTCAACAGTATCATATTATATCTGTACCATCTGCAATATTATATCTGTACTATCAAAATTTATGCCATTTGGTTTTATGTCCTCTTATAAAATGAAGTCTTGAAATCCAATGGGAGAAGTTTGTCTTGATTGCACTCTCTCATCCAGTAAGTTTTTAATCGACCCCCATTTTGGTAATCCCTTTTATTTTATATTTGAGGGAAATCTCTCTGTTATTGTACCTATCTATCTATTTCACTTTGTTAATATGCATTCCGTTTTTTTGTTTTTTTTTATTAACAATGACATTTGGGAAGATGTTGGAGGGCGGAAGTGATGTCACTTCCGCCAACCACTGCCCTGAATGGGTGCTATACATGACAGCCCCATCCAATCACCAATAGAATTTGTTCTATACAAGTTTTTTAATTGATTGACAGGCAATTCAGCCAATGAAAGCCTTTTTACCACAGGTGATCAGTATAAAAAAAAATTTTTTTCCAACCACCAATAGAATAAGTTTTTTAACTGATTGACAGGCAATTCAGCCAATGCAAGCTTTTTTACCACAGGTGATCAATATAGGAAATTTGAAAAATACAGCACCATCCAACCACCAATAATAATCAAGCTTTTTGATTGATTGACAGGCAATTTAGCCAATGTAAGCTTTTTTACTACAGGTGATTAATATAAGAAATTTGAAAGAGACTCTGACCTTATGATTGGATAATCACACATCCTGTGACCTCAAAGGGAGGATCCGAATCAACTTTAGAGCACTTATAAAGTGGAAGATTCCTGAGGCTACTTCACAGCTACTGAGGAAGCTCATACAAGAGTGAAACGCGTTTAGCTGGAGTTTGGACTTTTATACTTGGACTTTCCATCATTTAGCTTATGTGCTTTTGAGAAGTCTAAATATTGTTTTTATTATTATTTTTTATCTCTACAATAAATTGTTATTTTTTTATATATTAGTCCATATAGTCCTTTCTAGCCTCCAGGAACACCATGTGGGGAATGCTATCCCAATAAATTAGCACATTGCCAACAAACCAGGTTCTCTCTCTCTGTTTGTTCCATATCTTCGGGAGAATATCATTTGGGATGAAGGGGTGTGTTGCTGCCTCAAGAGCAAGAAGGAGTCACTTACGGAGCCAATAGCTTATAGGCTCCAACCCACGTGAGTGGTTTCAACCAATTGCTACCATTATTCATTTTTTATTTTTTGTAAACCATCTGCACTATATTCTCTCTTTTTGTTGTTTTACTTTGTATGTACATTTGGACACATTGTATCACTATGTTGGAGGGGTGAGTATACCCCCTCATTATTTATATATATATTCAATATAGCGCTCCACTTGCTGGTATATTGTTTATACCTTTTTTTCTTGACAATATATACCATTAATTTAAGTGAAATAACTCACCCAGGTGTTCTATTCTCATTTCCCGCCGGCACCAAGTGAATTTCCGGGTATGAGCGCGCACGGAAATTCACTTGGTGCCGGCGGGAAATGAGAATAGAACACCTGGGTGAGTTATTTCACTTAAATTAATGGTATATATTGTCAGTTTGCACACAGTTTGTTGTTGTCCTGTTGTCTCTGACCCTGAAGAAGGTCCCGACCGGGGACCGAAACGTTGGTCATCATTTTTAAATTTTTTCAATAAAACTTTTGTTTTAAGTCTGGAGAGCAGCCTTTTCTTATTGGATATTATATATATATATATATATATATATATATATATATATATATATGTATCTTTTCAGCAGATTTTTCTGTGCATAGATACAAAGTAATAAAATAAACTATAGCAAAGTCTTACCGTCTGTACAAATTGATGGAGAAAGAAACTGATAGAACTGCTGAGCAGATGATCAGATTATGGTGAGGCAAGGAAGGGAATTAATTGGACAGATAGGATTGTGGGAGCCAGATCAGGAAACTGGTGACATTGACTATATAACAATGTGTGACCGCCACAGAGCCATGCGTTCTCTCACAAATGCAAACATTGCCATTTCTCTGGTAACAGCAATGTTTACATTAACAGAATAAAAGGACAACATCTATAAGCACCAAGACCACTAAATCTTAATGTAGTGGTTTTGGTCTACAATGTCCCTTTCAGTTGTTACATTTACCGGTATGTCTTGTCCACCATTGAACAGCGAATACAATATGTTGATCCTTGATGCATAATTACAAAGATAATTGACAACTTTTTTTTTTTTATTCTTTTTTTTTGTCATTTTTCTTTTGCATTTGGTTTTAGGGTACAGAATTAAGAGAGGGTAGGGGGGTACAACGTTTCTTTGTCAAATATACATTGCAAGCTTATTCAGTTTGATAATTGACAACTTATACAAATAAAATCGATTTCAATGTTGAAATGTCTAGTCTGCTGCTTGCCAACTTGGACAGATGTTTCACAAATGGTTACAGTGCATTCACCTCTCTGAGGAAATGTTAACTTTTCCACTGACTGTTTATTTCACTTGGATTTCCGTCTTAGCCGAATATAAATCTACAACTATATGTGAAAATACCGAACTGAAGCTTCATTGCAAAGAGCCCAAACTTCTCAATATCTATTCAGCTGTGTATGGAAGTTTTGCCTATGAAAAGAATACGTGTCCTGCAGAAACAGACCGGCGATCTCCCTATGGTAAGCAATGATTATTTTAG